GGACACTATAGGCACCCAGACAACTTAATCTCATCAAAAATTGTAGTTTCATACATAGAATCTGCAATATTTATTTTGCAGGGTAAAGACTGCCCTCTACTGGCCAACTATTTCTTTTCCATAAAATAAGCCCTGAAGTTATGCAAGATTGCATCTTTGATACAATATAGATGACAGACAAAAAAACAAAACACATTGGTCTTAATATCAGAGGCACTTAATGGGCAAGAATTAAGATTAATGCCCCATAAAAAAATAAAATAACACACCTTGCTTACCCTAGGTCCCACCGCACGCTGGTCTCACTGCGGACGCCACTCCTCCCATTGCGGAGAGCAGTATTACTCATGATCTCAGCAAATCCAATGCTTCCTAATAGGGAAGCAAAACTGGAGTCTAGCGTGCACAATTAGCTGCTCGAATAAGCATCTCCACAAAAATGCATTGACTCAAGGCATCAATATAGGAAAACCCTTTACTTTTACACACAGGGTGTTAAAATACTGATTGTCTGTCCTGCAATTATTGCTGGACCAAACAAGCACCAGTCTCTAGTTGCAGTCCAAGTAGTACCCACTAAAGGTGGTTGCAAGAATGTAAACAAACACTCACTTTTCTCAGAAAGGACTATACCCTTAAACTTAATGAAGTACTTTAATGGGAAGATTAGAAATTACTCAGTATATTGCATGATGCTTCATTCCTACACCCCCATCATACTTTGAAGAAATGCAAAAAAAAAAAAAAAAAAGTTGTTTAATTTCCCAGAAATAAACATGTGCACAGGTTATTGAGATGTACACCCACACCCTTCCCCCATTGATTTTCTAAAGGCCGCATATAGCGCTGCATGCTGCACGAGCAACTGTCAATATTATCTTAATGCATGAGAATCACCCAGTGGGTAAAGGCATGACTGGACACCTCAAAAGCTCATGTGATACTACAATGAGATCAAAGAATGAATCAAAATAAGCACAGCTCCTACATGGTCTCAAAATATGTAACTGCAGTAGCTATTTGACAGTAAAGGATAGTACCCAACTTTTTTGTTGTTTTTTTTAAAGCAATAATATTAAAGTAGATCAAGATTCCATTCTGTTATAATTTGTAGCTCCAGTTTGCTGGAGTTACATACATAAGCAATGGTTTTCAAGCAGCTCCAACAATGCACAAAATATACAGTTAGGAGACCAATACCAAAGGCCAGCTTATGTGTGATAAAATTCAAAACAAATTTAAGATTAACAATATATACTATGGGAGGATATCCATGCTTACATGACAACAACAACAACAAAAATTATATAGAGAAGAAAAAATAATTAGCACATCACTATGAGAATCATACCAACCTAAAACGGAAGATTCAATATCTGAAATAATAAATGTGCTTTTTGGTGCAAACCTACTAACATTTTCTGTATTTCGGTTTTAGGATTTATCAGATTAGATCCCAAATGTGGGATATGTGCAGGCATCAAAGAAGATGCACACTGGGGTACATTACACAGCATACAGGCCTTCAAAGAGGTGTAGAAATTAGATTATTCAAAGCAAAGCACCAATAAATGTGCCACTAACCCACTTGATGTGGGGCTGTACATCACATTGCCACTTGAGCCTTCCTCCTACATTGTTGAATTTGGCTACATTTTGGGGATAAGGACATCTGTTTGTGGTCTCAACTTGTTTCACTTGAGTAGAAGTGGAGTAACTGGTAATGAATAGTTATTATGTATATAAATGTTTATCTTTTCTTCTAGTAACCCCTGCAAAGGAGAAACTCTGCCAATCCCTCTTCCAGTTACGGTAGTTCATCAAGGACCACAGGTAGTACTGTTAGTCAGCCATCCATTAAGAGAGCAGTACCAAAAACTAGTTGAATAACGCAACCCCACAATGTGCTTTTCCTGTAGACCATTGCTAGATCCATGTCATTCAGTAAGCAGCTGCAATATCTTCAACACTTGGTCAACAACTTCAGTCAATAGAGGAAAAACTACACACATCTTCCTTTGAAAACCATCTGCATTTGCAGTAATACGAAAACCGCTATGCAAAGCACATTTCCCCAAATTAATTAAAATGGTCATGGAAATAAACGTAAGCCAGTATTTAGCTGAACATGCAACTTGATCTCAAAAGCGAAGATTAACAAAAAATAAAACAAATACAAGACAGTCCATTATTGCCCAAGATGCAAGTAATGTGAAACAGAAAATAGAATGCAAAAATGTGCAAGCAAGCAAGAAGACCTTGCCATAAATGTTACATGATTGTCTTAATGTTGCATGTTAGAAATATGGTGCCTGGGAGGTTATTTTTTAATAAGGAAAAAAATAAAAAAAAAATCCGGTGGAACATGCATTTCAAGGCACAAGTACATTCAAGGTCAACAAGAAGACTTTCAAAGGACCCGAACAGGTGGCATTAAGTGGAATGAGTGAACAAAGATGCAAATAAAATTATTAATGAAACGGATACGACAATTTAAGACCAACAAAAGAAGAGTTGGCATGAATAGTATGCGGTCAAATTTTTGAGATGGGTTAATGTGTTTAATGTTCAATAAAAAAAATACAAGTAAAGAATTTCATAGTTCATTCTGCCAATTCACAGGTTTACATCCAACTTGTTATATAGCTACAAATGTATTATGTATCAATAGAAAACCGTAGGGGTTTCGTAAAGGGATATTCTAAATAAAAGAACTGACCAGGGAATTAAAAATAAATAAATACAAGTTAATACATTATACAAATAATGGGTTGATAGGTGTATAGCAACTACACATTAACTGTAGCTTGCAGACAGATGTACTTAGATAAATGTATGTATACAGGGATAGGTGTGAACGAATGAGGTGATTACTGTAGACAAATGTGGATTAGGATTCATTGAGCAGTACAAAAGGAATAGGTAAGGGAAAACTTTTTTTAAAAATATTTTGGTTAAATAGGAGGAAATGAATCCAGTATTGGTAGAAATTAAATTAGAAGCTTCAAGTCCAGAGGAAGCGGATAACAAATTTGTTGGTGTAGGTCTGAATTTAAAAAGAAGGCGGTAGAGGTTTCAACGATTGATTCATGCAGAACACAGATGGGTGGAAAATGGAAGGAAGGATGTGGCACAGAGTTGGCATGGAAAACAGCAAGTGAGGAAGAGGGTCAGGGCTGGCGTGGAAAACAGGAGGGGCGCGCACAGAACGACGGGGGAGGGGCGCCGACGGGGCTGGACCAGAGAACGGTGGGGGAGGGGCGCCGACGGGGCTGGACCAGAGAACGGCAGGGGAGGGGCGCCCGGCGGGCTGGACCAGAGCGGCAGGGAGGGGCGGCGGCGGGCTGGACCAGAAGAGCGGCAGGGGAGCGCTTGACGGGCTGGACCAGAGAACGGCAGGGGAGAGCGCCGGCGGGGCTGGACCAGAAGCGGCAGGGGAGCGGCGGGGCTGGACCAGTGAGCGGCGGGGGAGGCGCCCGGCGGGGCTGGACCAGTGAGCGGCAGGGAGGAGAAGGGCGCCGACGGGGCTGGACCAGAGAACGGCAGGGGAGGGGCTGGACCAGACCAGAGAACGGCAGGGGAGGGGCGCCGACGGGGCTGGACCAGAGAACGGCAGGGGAGGGGCGCCGACGGGGCTGGACCAGAGAACGGCAGGGGAGGGGCGCCGACGGGGATGCACTAGTTGTACAGGTAGTGGATGGCAGGTTGGAATCAGAGGATGGTGATTTTTTTAATTGAGTGGGCAGAGGGGCGGGGGATGTAGGGTTGATTGTATGAGGGAGGGAGGGGGCTCCAGGTTGTAATGAAGGGGGCACAGGGCAGTGATGGTGATGGAGGGGAGGCTGGTGGAGGGCTCTATGAGAGGCGGATTGAAGTCAGGGGGGCACTCTCTCCCGCCATTTCTTTCCCCGGACCATCCTCCCCGAGCGGCTCACCCTGTGCTCGGCCAGCACTCAGCGCGTCCAGGCTGCCAGGCGGGATCCCGAGCATGGCGGCTGCATATCCCGAGAATGCCCGAGGCAGACTGCGGCCGCTCCCCGACACTGCCCGGGCTCCTGGCGGTAAGCGAGCCCCCCACACCCCCCGTCTTACCAAGGCTTCCAGCTTATTGACTGCCGTCTCCATGTTGAATAGTTTACATTCCTCAGGCGGACCCGGGAATAGGAGCGGGGGGAGGGGCGGGGGCGGAGCCCGGCCTGGAGAAAGACTAAATAGGGAGCAGACAGCTGGCGCCGCTGATTGGCTGGCTGTCACTCGGAGCTCGACAGTGATTGGACAGCCGGGGCCAGGTCCTCCCCGCTCATTGGTCCAAACTCAATGTAAACGCTGCCATAAAACGCCGTTTACAATTGGCCGACGGCTAAAGCACCCGATGCTATTGGAAGACACTCCCCTTCACACTGACCGGCGATTAGTCGGCGGATCGTTCTGCGAATTTACCCCCTCTATGAGACGCCTTATGCGGCTGCGACGGGCTGATTGGCAAGCATGGGAGCAGCCACCCAGACCGTAGCGCTGCCCGAGGCACGGCTCGGAGCCTGCCCATTGGCTCTTTTATCACCGGGCGAAAGCCAATAAACGGCTTGTATGGTGAGAAGGGGCGGGGCCCGTGTGAGCTTCTCGCTATGTGATTGGCTGAGACGCGCTGCGCTGTCAGTTTGAATCTAGAAGTAGTCCTGCGATTGCTGGTAGTCGGAGGAGTCCATCGGCCGCACGGTGAGTGCCGCTACCTACACCGAGCCAGCACCGGCCCGCCCGGGCCTGACACCTGCTGGACACACTGTTACAGGAGCAGCATAGAGCAGATCAGGGCCAACACCATGGAAACCAATGGAATGTTATTACTGAATTAGAATGGCGCCCACCGTGATTAGTTATACTGGGCAGCAATGCGGAGTGTGTCCATATACCGGCTGCTCCGAGGCTGGATACTGTGAGGAGATCCTCTCCCCGGGATTAGCGGCAGTGAGATAGATAGATAGATAGGGTTATCTCTAAATAGAAGTCCGTTGAAGAACTGCTGTTGTGGTAAATCTCCTGTAACAGAATCCAGCCCTGACAGAGGAGATTTGTTCAATGTTCACTAGCAAAAATGAGTACCTGCCCCTTTCATATCAGCCACATGTCTTCATGGTGGGAAGATCATTTAAAGGGGCACTATAGTCACAACACCACTTTAGATGAATAAAGCAGTGTTGCTGTATAGATCACAGCCAGGGGAGGTGTGGCTAGGGCTGCATAAACAGACACAAACTGATTTAACTCCTAAATGGCAGAGAATTGAGCAATGAGACTTAAGAGGCATGATTACATGATCTTTGTACCCACAGGATGAGTTCCTGATTTGAAAGGAATACTCCAACTGCTATAACCAATATGGCCTGCTGTAGTGTGGAGTATGCTGTGGCCTGTCACTGCCCCACAGTAAGTCCTGCTGGGCGCCCAGGGCCACAGACCCTGTAGTGTGGAGTATGCTGTGGCCTGTCACTGCCCCACAGTAAGTCCTGCTGGGCGCCCAGGGCCACAGACCCTGTTTCTGAAATTCTGTTGCTAGAGAATCCAGTTAGCTGTGAATGGCCACGCCCATTGGCCAAAAGCCTCCGCTTTTAGCCAGTGAGCACAGTTCTGGATCGGACGTGATTAATTCTATAAAGATGTCCGTTTTCTCATGCAGAAGAAGACCTGATGCTTTATCGACACCCAACGATCTATGCAAGTTGTCGAAAAATATACTAAATGGTCCCCACAAAAACATTGTAGTGGTTATGATGCTTGTGTTTCTTTAAAGGGTGTTATGTTGCCATGATTGTCCTCATGACTTCCCAATTAAAAGGAACAGTCCAAGCACCTTACCCCCTCCCCCCCCATTCAGGTAGTCAAACCATTATTTCTTCCATTGACTGTGGAGAGCCAGAGGCTCTTGCCCAGAGCTACTGTTAGCTTTTCTGTCATGCAGGGCCAGCTCATTCATTGGGTGAGCGTGTCAGCTGATTGCTTTCAGCCAAATCGTTAAGCTCTGCACTGTTAAATTGACTATTTACATTGAGTGGGGTAACGGAGCGCTATTGGCACCATAACCACTACAGCACACTGTAATGGTTATGGTGCTTGGAGTGTTATGGCCCATATCTTTCCTGTTCCTTGTTTAATGGTTTTATTTCCCCACTTAAATACCTCTGTCATATCTCTGTAATTCTCAATCTTTGCTTTTGTTTTTCCTTAAATGACCTTAAATCAAATGTTCATCTATGCACACCCCCATCTCTTAGCCCATCTGACCCTAATATACATCTCTATCCCACAGTCTGATTTTTAAACATACCCAGTCCAGCATAGAACTCAGAGCTCCATCAGCTGTTCCATGGCCATTTGAAACCGGTAGCCTTCTGGAAGACTGCAACTTCCCTTAGATGTAGCAAATGCCTTTAACAATTATTTTGTCGGATGCTCTACTGCCCTGATTGCCAAGCTAATAAATTACATGCATCCTGAAACTACAAATGTGGATCAGGCCCCACTAAATTTGCAAAGGCCCAATATAGATAAGTTAAATTTTAGACCTGTACCTGTTAGTGTCATTAAAAAAACATCTTAATAATCTAAAAATGAAAAACCAGTCCGGACCTGATCGAATCCCAGCAATGCTGTTGAAGCTCAGTGCGCCGGCAATTGCTAAACCCGTCTCAACTCTAATTAAAGAATCCTTGGTGTCTGGATACATACCAAACTTTGGAAGACTGCGAGAGTAGTGCTTATCCATAAAAGTGGTGACAGTACTTTGGTTTCTAACTATCGCCCAATATCATTGCTCCCGGTATTGTCAAAAAATCTTAGAAAAATGTTTCCATACGCAACTTTGTGACTACTACCAACAATTAAACTATCTGACCCCTGATCAATCGGGCTCTCGCCAGAATCACTCCACTACAACTGCCCTCCTAAAAGTTTGCAATGACATCCAAACTGGCATGGAACAAGGAGCCCTAACTGGAGCTATTTTCCTTGATTTTGCTAAGGCCTTTGACACAGTAGACCACGACATTCTACTGCACAAACTCGAAAACTCAGGTATTGGTGATCATTCTCTAAACTGGTTTCGATCGTATGTATCGGATCGCTCGCAATATGTGTCCATTTCTGACAGTGACTCCCTCCCTCTCCCAGTCACGTGTGGTGTTCCCCAGGGTTCCATTCTCGGCCCCCTACTATTTACATTATTTATAAATGATCTGCCTAATGTCTGCCAATCCTCAAATGTACACATGTACGCAGATGACACGGTCATCTATGCGAGCAAATCCGATCTACCGCAACTTGAGGCTTTGCTCCAAGACCAGTTTACAGAGGTAGAAAAGTGGATTGCAAAAAACAAACTCTTCCGGAAAACTGACAAAACTGTCACAATGATCTTTGGAACAGTACATAAATTAAACAAATTACACAATTCCCACCTATCCATCAAAACAAATTCAAATGGCACACTGACAGCAGTCCACTCTTTCAAATACTTGGGTATGATATTAGACCCCAATCTATCTTTTGGCCTGCACATAGAAAAGCTTGCATCTAAACTTTATCCAAAATTAGGTGCCCTGTACAGAAACAAAGCCTGCCTAAGCCCTACAGTAAAGGAAAAGGTTGTACAGCAAATGCTGATGCCAATCATTGATTATGGGGATGTAGTATATGCATCTGCATCGCAATCCCACATTAATAAACTCAACACATTGTATAACTCGTTCTGCCGATTTGTGCTACAATTTAATTACAGGACCCATCATTGTGACATGCTAAAGGAACTAAACTGGCTATCGCTGGAATCCAGACGCACCCTTCATCTTTCCAGCCTTGTTTTTAAGAGCTTTTCGAGGAAACTCCCACCCTACCTGAACAAAATGCTTTCCCCGGCTGTTCCCACTTTCTATAAGCTCCGATCCAGTACAAGCACTTTACTTAGTCTACCTCAATACAAAAAGAAAGCAGCCCAATCCTCCTCCTCCTACAGAGCACCGCAATTGTGGAACGACCTCCCGCACAATTTAAAATCTTCCCTAAGCTTAAAGTCATTTAAGAGATCCCTCTCTACATACCTCAAAACAGAATGCACGTGTCATGGTTGATTATATATTTCCTGCCTGTTCTATGTTAAATTTTGTATATATTGTGTATTAATATTGTTTTTGTATTTTGTTGTACCTAATGTAACAATGCAATGATTTGTGGACCCAGGACATACTTGAAAACGAGAGAAATCTCAATGTATCTTTCCTGGTAAAATATTTTATAAATAAATAAATAAGAACAGTTTGATATAAAACAGGGCATTTTGTGGTGCCTACAGGGCTCTTCAAAAGTAGAAACCAATCCAATTAAAATCAAAAGGCATTTATTTATTGCTCCTTTGGGCATTAAAAACAAACATATAACAAAAACAGCCGCACCAATGAGAGTAAATGTGAAACGAGGTCAAGCAGAAATATTTTGTTCTTAAAATATAAATTATTTTTGAATTCTCACTTTTGTGAATAACCCCGTAAAAATGCTAAATTATACATTGCATGATGCTTCCAAATGCTCTACATGCTTCTCATTTAGCATCCCATTGGCTTAGCGCTGTGATTGTTGCACATGCCAAGTAGGTCCCCAATGTTCCTTTATGAGAGGCATACATTTTACTGAAAATCATCTTAAGCCAAGGAGGAGCAGTTGCTTGGTGATGGATAAAAGCGAGTTAAAAATGCATTATTTATTTTAAAAGAGGAACATAAAAAGTCCTCTGGACCACTTACAGGGTCACTATAGTCACCAAAACAACTATAACTTAGTTGTAGTTGTTCTGTTGAGTATAGCATGCCTCTACATGGTTTTTAATGTAAACACTTCATTTTCTCTGCCTAGGGACACTTACAATGACCGTTACTCAAACGGCAATGAGGAGTGTCACTCTCTGCATGGTGATGCTTAACTTTCCCCATGGAAATGCATTGATTCAGTGCATTTCTATGAAGAGATGCTGATTGTCCATCACAGTGTTTGGCTCCACCCCCACCCTGCTTCCTTGGCTAAGAGCATCAGAATTGATCTCAGCCAATCCAATGCTTTCCTATGGTATGTGGTCAGCCAAGGAGTTGGATCGGGAGCAGGGTCAGCGTTGGTAAATCCGTTCGATGCTGGAATAAAGGTGAGTGAGTTTTTACTCTATGCAAGGGGACACTGAGGGCTAAGTAATGTTTTTAACACAATAGGGTCAGGAATACACAGTTGTATTCCTGACCCTATAGTGTTCCTTTAATCAAAATATATTTATTTTAAGTGTTAGAGTGTTCATTTAATTATTTATTCAGATTTTGAAATTGCAAACAACTTGCATTCGTTGTTGTTTTTTGGGGGCATTATTTTCTTTCTTTTAAAAAACTGTCTCCAGGAGATAAAACCCTGTAACACATTACTTCTATTGCAATCTAACTTGCTAAAAAATATAATTTTCAATGTCACCTAGATTATGGCAAAATTCTTGCAAGCACGCCGAAGACCAACAAAGTACAGAAAGAGACGGTGGACAAATAGTAATCTTAAGAGTTCCAAGCATAAAACAGAAAGGTAATAATAAAAAAGATTGATACTACACTGAAATCAGAAGTACCCAACAGGTAGACCACTAGATGATTTATAACTGCAATTACCAGACCTTTTCACAGACAAACAAGTGCATAGGTCAATTTGTGTGTTTGTATTATTTTTAATTAATATGGCAAGTAGGACCATTGGACAAATTCTCTTTTGACACAGCTATTCAGGGAAATCTTGTTTCCACAATTCTCCCAGAATTCACAGCTTCACATTAAAATAAGCACAGAAAGGCATCATGTTTCAGACTCCATCCTGCAATTTTGCAGTCAACCTAAGCAGTAAATGCTGAATTTATTGTTATAAATAATAGTAAAAAAGACAGAAGCTTCATCAAAGCATAGTAGATGACCGATGTTTTACAACCTAGATGCACGAGTAGGAAGCCATTGCACTTATGAGGGACTTTTGCTGAAGATAACTCAATTTGCCCAGGCCCCACTACGAGCTAGCACAACATGCCCACTGATCTGTTCTCTCTTAGTATGCAAATCTGCATCTCTAAAGCATCTAATCGCTAATCCTCCTGGGATGTGAGCGGTGCAGGAGACAACAAACTTCCAAGGCTGGAGGCCTAGGTAAACATCTCCTGGAAGTAATGCATTTATAAGTGAAAAACACCTACACAAAGTGGAGGGTATCTTACCCTTTAATAACAGTGATACAGAGGCAGGAGAGCAGCAAATGCAAAAACAAAATCGACAAATTATAGTGCAAATGGTATAATGTCCACAAGTGAGGTATAGCTAAAAACAACTAGGAAGACACAAATGAAGCAGAGCCTGGTAACAATGAGGCTCAATACTTGCACAGGTTTGCCTTTACGGGTAGCAACTGTCACTGTGGATCCGAGATTACCGAGCCTTAGAATGGCCGGACTTAATGTAAATATACAACAAGAAACAGGGTCAAGAATGAATCAAGGACAGGAATACTCAGAGTCAAGACAAAGCCGAGGTCTGAATACCAGAAATCACGAGGCAAATACGAAGCTGAGGTCAAGCACAGGAAATCACAAGGGAATCTATAGGAGCACTAAATGAAGATCTAGCCGAAACCAGTTCTGATAGGTCCACGTCATCACTGCGATCCAAAACAGATTAGGATCACAATGATGAAGTGGTCACTTTAAGAGTGGGCGTGATGTCACTTCCACATTTATATATAGACGTCCTGTTGCAGAGCCGCGTAGTTTAGTCAGACCGCGCGGCAGGAGGAGGTCTGCAAGGATTGAGGGAGGTGAGTCTTCTTTAGTGTGCCGCACGGAATGGTTGGACTGTGCGACACGAAGGGATCTGCGCGGCTCAGCGGAGGTAAGTAATGCCACAGCAACACACCTTTCTTCTTATAAAACACCACACTCGAAAGGGAGAAGAAAAAAAGGCAGTAATAGAGCAGATATCTAAAACTACTTTAATATAAGCAAACATGCTGGATGTTCTCACCTGGATAAGAGCCAAATAGGTCCTGGATATATGTATGTAAGCTTGGTGTCACTTATGGCATAACACTGCCCACAACTGTATACCAATGAATGAAGCTGCTGGATACTGCTAAAATATACAATGGAGATGTCATAAAAGATATAACAATATTTATTTATACGCTCATATAAAAACAATAAAAGTGCAGTAGCTGCAAGAATTCAATTTTCGCCAATAATCCAGGCTTCTTAAGTCTGCTAGAAGTAGCCAGTAGAGATCAGAGAAGTAAAACAAAGTAAAAGAGGAAAAAAGTGAGGGACTGGATAAGGAAATAGAATGAGATAGGGGTCTCATTTCCCCCAGGCTATATCCAAGGAGTCCAAAGTTTGCATCTCAGGACTGGTCACTGGAGGTGTCCCTAGGGGGCAATGGAAACACTGCCTTTTCTCTGAAAAAGCAGTGTTTACATGAAAATGCCTGCAGGGACTGTAGTTGTTATGGTGACTGTAGTGTCCCTTTAAAGATCTATGATAACACATGTTTTGTCTGCAAAGTGTGCTGTATGACCCAAGATGGGTTAAAACACATATACATGCTTTTTGATGTTGTTTGTATGTTCTGCTGCTTTATTTAGTATATTGTAATCTCCATTTGCAGGACACCAGAACACATAGTTACTAAACTGCCTTGGCACTCAAATTTGTTCCCTGCTGGATGCTTTAGATTCCCCAGTGTAAGGAATGCAGTGAATTCAACAGTGAAATCTTTTATCTCTTTGTTCTTGTGGCTTCACATCAGTGTCAAAAAGGTAACTATTTTAATGTCACCATTAAGGGCCACATGACAGAGAGGTTTATTTGTATTAGAATTTCCCTTTATGTAAACTTTTAATTTATATAAATTTTCTGTGCCCAAGTAGTAATAACTAGTAAGAATATATTCTTATTAGAATTATTGTTCAATGTAATGTTCATCCATTACATCCACAATGCTTGGATTCCGTGATGCTGCCCATCTTCACCCATTTGAAGGCCTCTGATATCTTCTGGAGCCTTTGAAATGATTGAGAAGAAGGAAAGTATGATAAGTTATGCATAAGTAATATAAATTAATATAATAATAGTAATATCTAATATTAAAGGGACACTATAGTCACCCAGACCTCTTCAGCTCAATGAAGTGGTCTGGGTGCCAGGTCCCTCAGGTTTTAATCCTGCAGATGCAAACATCGTGCAGAGCGTCCATAGGAAAGCATTGAGAAATGCTCTCCTATGGACATTTTGAATGCGCACGCGGCACTTGCCGCGCATGTGCATTCGACTCCGCTGACATCGGCGGGGGAGGAGAGGTCACCAGCGCAAAGGGAGCCGACGCTGGGATAAGGTAAGCTGCTGAAGGGGTTTTAACTCCTTCAACACCACGGGAGTGGGACCCTGAGGGTGGGGGCACCTTCAGGGCACTATAGTGATCCTTTAAGATACAAAATATAAAATCTAAAAATGTATTAAAAAAGTATTTGAAGATGGCTATATATTTATTTATTTTTTTTCCAGACATAATACTTTAAATTTTTCAGGCCATGTCGTATGTTCTATTTTCCTTATTGTAAGAGGGTGCAAGGTCAATTGTATTGGCGTCTGCCTACAATCACAAAATAGGTTGTAACAACATGGCATAGTAAAATAATTTGTAATGGATGTTCATGATTATGAATTTTGTTGTTTTCACCCTTTTTTTATTAAGTTAAACAGTGCAATTATTTATAGGTGCGCATTAATGATTATTATTTTCTTTTTTGACAGCGTCTTGTTTTGGTTAAAAATACAATATTTCCATCATTAATCTGCCAGTTGGAACTGCGCACACTTAGGCATCGTTTACAGAAGCTAGAAGTAGAATTTTCCAAGTTACACGCGTCTCTGCAGGTGAGTTATGCAGTTGTATATGAAACACCAAACATGTTGGGGAAAACAGTTTTTGCTGAAATAGCCATTTCAAAAGACTGTCCATTTAAAAATGGCGGAGAAAAGAGAAGTGTAACTGAATACTTTTCTGATGGAAAAAGTGGCAGTTAATCCCTCTGTGCAATTAACCCTTTTCCCCCTGGACCTAACTACTAATGATCGATTTCTGTATTATAGCTTGTATGAGAATTGGCCTGCAAATTTGGTCAGACTGATTTGGCTGGCAAACAGCAGAGAACTATGTTAAAAAAAAAAAAAAAAAATGTAATGAAAACCCATAAAAAAAATAAAAAAATAGTGAAGTGCTATATTTAGTGCAGGCGCCTGAGGGAGAATCGAGGTGGTGGCAAACAATGCAGGCGAGTGGCGAGGGAGCTGTACTTTTTAAACTCTTCCCACTCTGCTCTCTTGCACACCCTGCAGTGATGCCACAAGCCTGAATATGACGTCACTCCGGTTCCAGCATTATTAAACAGAGAGGAGAGCAGGAATATTAAAGCAGACTGATCAGAGTGCCTCTATCCACATCCAAAAGTGCTGGTGGGACATGAGCATCAGAACTGGACCATGGAGCAATGAAAGAAGGTTGCCTTGACTAATGAATCATATCTTCTTTTAGATCAGTTTGATGGTTGTGTATGTCATTTTACACAGGGGAAGATATGGCATCAGGATGTACTATGGCTGTTGGAGGCAGTATTATGCTCTGGGCAATGTTCTGCTGGGAATCTTCGGGTCCTAACATTCATGTAGATGTTACTTGTCACCTACCATCTACCTTCATGACAATAGTGTTCAGCATCATCCTGCTGAAAGAAGTAGTGGCCTCTTTCAGCAAGATAATGCACCCGGGCTCTGCAAAAATAGTTCAGGAATGGCTTTAAGAACATGACTAAGAGTTCAAGATGTTGCCTTGGCCTCCAGATTCCCCTGATCTCAATCTGATTTGAGCGTCTGTGGGATGTGCTGGAACAACAAATTCGATCCATGAAGGTCCCACCTCGCAACTTGCAGGACTTAAGGATCTGCTGCTCATGTCTTGGTTCCAGATAACACAGGACACATTCAGGGGTCTTGTGGAGTTCGTGCCTCAAAGCATTAGAGCTGTTTTGGCAGTATGAGGGGGACCTACACGATATTAGGCAGGTGTTTTTAATGTGTTGTCTGGTGGGTAAAACCACTTTGTGCCGATATAAAAGTCAGCACTTCCGTTCTTGTTGCAACGTTTGTAACCTGAGTATAGTTGGACAAGGATACTACAGGGTTCAGTATGTTATAAGAAGAATACATTTATATATATTTTCATACACATTAAAATAAACAGGAGCCCTTACTGCAATCCCTTCACTCCGAAACGCGTGTCACCTCAAATGGCTCTCTTTTTTTGTAAATATCTTCTTATTGGACATTTAAAATTTCTTATTGCATGAAGTAAGAAGAAAACACGTAGAACGGGACATGCATCCATATTGTCACTGTAGCATACAGCGAGTAAGAGCAGGCATTAAAGTTAGGCATAAAAGCAGTCACCACAGGAGACTCGCAGGTCTCAAACAGAAAAGTAATAACATTTGAAAGGGACTCGCATGTCTCATATCGAAAGACAAAAAAAAAAAAAATATAGAAACATTAGGGGGTAGTGCAAGTGGAAACCAGCCTTGGCTGTCTCAGGCTCATGGGATGCCTTATCTACTCCTCCATGCAAGGGCATTGGCACGTATGTGTAGAGTGTAGGGAGTAGGATGAGAAAAAGGATTTGTGGGAAGAAGATTGGGGGGGAGTGGTAGTGTGGGGTGGGTGGTATGTTGGGAAGGGGTAGTCAGTCCACCTAGTTTTCAGTGGCGAGTGTATCAGGGTCAGTTTATTGTCCTAGTCGGGAAGCAAAGTCTGCATCAGACGTAGTCCGTATCCAGTATGTCCAGTGTTCAATATCGAGTCTTTCTGTGACATAATAGCAGGGAGCCTGGGTTGTCAGAGAACAACTTTAGCATGTCTTGAATCCCCTTCCAAAATGGCCTGATACGGTTGCACTCCCACCAGCTGTGACCCCACATTAACCTTTTTTTTTTTAAACTATATTAATATTAGGATTAAAGGGACACCATAGTCACCAGAACAACTACAGCTTATTGAATTTGTTCTGGTGTATAGCATCATTACCTTCTGGATTTGTACTGTAAACACTGCTTGTTTCAGAGAAAATGCAGTGTTTACATTACAGCCTAGTGATAACTTCACTGGCCACTCCTGTTAGAGATCCTTCCTGGTCATGGCTGCCTACAATGCATCCAATCATTCAGTATCTCCTCCCTCTGCATGCAGACACTGAACTTTCCTCATAGAGATGCATAGATTAAATTCATCTCTATGAGGAGATGCTGATTGGCGAGGGCTGTGTTTGAATTGTGCTGGCTCTGCCCCTGATCTGCCTCTTTGTCAGTCTCAGCCAATCCTATGGGGAAGCATGATTGGATCAGGCTACCACTTCTGCTGATGTCAGCAGGCAGTGGGCAGGTCAAAAGGAAACTGACAAAGCAAGCAGCTGCAGACTTGAATACAAGTAAGATTTTACTATATTTAGGGAGGCATGAGGGGGACAAGGGGGCTAGATGGTGGTTTTAACACTACAGGGTCAAGAATACATGTTTGTGTTCCTGACCCTATAGTGCTCCTTTAAAATAACCTTGGAAGACCTCTAAAATTCTCATGAATAAAGACACACTAATATATAAATATTTAAAATCTATTCTAAATTACCTATAGATTGATTTTTATTTTTTTAATTTAAAGCACTTGTTGCCCTCCACACTTATACCTTTTTGTTAGCAGACATTTCTGTCTATCATGATATTTGAATGTTTGGTTGCATCACTTGGTTCCGGATTTAAGTTTGCTTTCAGATATGCTAAAATCCGTTTTACATATACAGTAATTCTGAGGCTATATTGCAAACTCCAAACATTAGTAAATTTTGATTAATACGATTGCAGTCTGAATGGTCTTTGATTATTTTTGCTAATTTGGACTCTGATACTCTAAAACATACCAATTCTTTGACATTTAGACAAGAACAACAAGATCTGAAGGTGCTCATAATTCAATGTTAATTCAGTTTTAGATTTCTTAAATTAATCTTTACATGATACCCTTAGTTTAAAAAAACAAAACAAAAAATAAATTCTATACAGAAACCCTTTATACAATCAGCTATCTAAATCTCATAAGAACTAGAATTTGAACTTGTTGGGGGGTGCATTTTTAAGCTTTAATTTACTTTGTCTCCTAAAATGTATTTCCTGTTTTCTACCAGGATACAGCCACAAAGTCCCATTCAGCAAGCAATACTTGCTGCTGTAATTGCAGCCAAAGAACAACCGTGCCTCCTACTGTAGCATCTACTCTTCAATCAACAGAGCAATTTCTACCTTCATCCATATCCGCACCTCCACCCCCACCTCCTCCTCCTCCACCACCCCCTCCATTGCCCCTGCCTCCTCCATCTTTCTCACTCCAAAAGCAGCCTCTGCCTGTACTGAAGAAAGTAGAAAGCAAGAGAGCTCTCAAGGTGGGTGTTGTTTGTGTTTTTGTGCTTCGACAGGTGGGAGTTGTGTTTTTGTGTTCCCTGGGTTAACTTTTGTGTGTACCATCGTCAATAGAATTATCTCAGCAGGAAAGTGTTTATTTATGGAAGAAGAAAAGTACTTGTGCAGATTCAAATGTTTGCAAGCACACCATTCTGTGCTTTCATACCGTTCTAAGGGATGTGATTGGCTATCTGGAGATATGTGCTGTATTCATGTTATCTGGTGATATGTGTTGTCTTTTAAAGAATTTTCTGTTTCTTCCAGAATTTTTTATATAATTGTCAGAAGTAATATATATCTAGGTGTTTTCTTTTTATAACCAAAATATGTTTGGCATACACGAGGCTAATGAAAAAGGAAAACCAATCATTTACCATTATCTATATATCTCTTTACCACAACCAATAATGTTATTCTCTTTTCTCTCCACGCTATCTCTGCTTCCTTTCATTTCTTTCTCATCCCTCTTTTTCCTTTTCCTCTCTCAACAGAGTTTTAAACCATAAATCTACAATAATATTGCTACTAATAATAATACCCAATAATCCTTATTCATTGTTTGAAGCATAGTTTTTATTGTTGTATCAAATATTAACGTAAGCTTTAATTTTTTTTTCTTCAACAGGAAAATCACTGCTCTGTCACTTTTTATACTCTTGTTTGAAATACAAGTTTTTACATGATTAAGTTTGTCAACAGAATAAATATATACTTCTTGTTTGTTTTGTTTTTAGGAAGAACATGTAGGACAAGATGGCCCCATTCAAATAACTCTAAAAGACCTCTTGAATGTTAAGTTGCGAAAGACACGAAGCAACCTAGAAAAACTCAAAGTATATTTTCATTTAGTCTTAATATGAGTATTGTGTTTTTGTGCTTTTAGATGTATGTGCCAACTTTATTTCAATAGTTTTCATTGTTTTGCAATTTTTACTTTCATGAATAGAGGAATAAAACATTTTTTGTTGAGGCTTTAGCAAAAAATATGTTTTTACACCTAAGTAAATCATAGAAAATAATAATGTATAGCATTTTGGCAGAGAAAAATAGAAAATAATCATGTTGTCAAATTTAGAATCCATATAATTATTTATATACTTTTATACTTATATTTGGGGCGTCTACTAACAGAATGATAATATAAGAGTCCGAAAAGTGTTTATCTGAAAATCAAAGTAATTAAGATACAAAAAATTCAAAAGGAAGTGCAAATCAATTAGTTTATTTGTACATTTTCTCTTTACATAAAAATAACTACCCGTTAACACAACTAATTTTAGAGGATTTTGGATCATTTTCAATATTCGCTAGCTGTGGTATTTTGCAAGGTTATCTTTCCATTGTTTTTAGTCTATCACAGGACATGACGTACTTCACTCATTATATGCATATACACTGGTAACCAGGGCCGGTGCTAGGATTTTTGACTACACAGGCGAAGATGCATTTTGACGCCCCCCCCCCCCCAAAAATAAATAAACAATGCATCTTCACCTCTGTGTCTCGTAGCCCCCTTTTGAATTTCTTACCCCCATTAGTGTTGCATATCCACTCTCTTGAATGTCTTACCCCTTTGGCCCCTTTGTGCCTTACACCCCCCTTTAGTGTGTCTCCTACAACCCCTCTTATGTATTTCTTACTTCCCCGCCAGCCCCTATCTATCTCTCTTTTTCTCCCACATAGACATAGATACAGGCAAAAATACATACATGCACAAATACACAAACATACAGACACACAACCATACAAGCACACAGACATAATTTTTCAGGCACACAGTCACAAAGATATACAGACACACAGTCATAAAAGGCACACAAACAAACACAGTCATACAATCTACACATATAGGTACATTGTCGTACAAACACAGACATACATTCATAAAGACACAGGCACTCACAGAAATACATACACAGACATAAAGAAACAGAGATAGGCATACAGAGACATACATACACAGACAAACAAAGAACCCTGCACACTGATACCGTGTAAATGCTCCGGCCATCAACAGAGGTGGATGCTCCATGTCAGGCAGACATTGCTGGATCCACCAGTAAAGTCTTCAAAAGGAATAAACGCAGGCAACACTCCAATAGTAAGGATGGTATATTTATTGGTAGGTGAACCACCCCATAGAAAGTGTGATGTTTCAGCTCATGTAATAAGGCTCTGCTGAGCCGAAACGACGCCCTTTCTTTGGGGTGGTTCACCTATCAATAAATATACCATCATTACTATTGGAGTGTTGCCTGCGTTTATTCCTTTTGAATACATTTACACAGTCATACAGAGACATACATACTGTATGTCTCTGTATGACGGTCTGTGTATGTACACAGGATGGCTAAAAGATAGATCCCCATCTGTCGTGAAACTTCAACAATGCTTTGAAAGCTGGGGCTCTACCGATTCCCCATGCTTGCAGGATTGTATTTAGCATGGAGCAGTATTTGTGTGTTTGACTGTAAGCATGTGTTTGTATGGAGTATGTTTGTATGATTGTAGCGGTGTGTTTGTATGTAGTGTTTGCATTTGAATGCAAGCATGCATTTATGTGTAGTGTTGGTTTTTGAACGCAGGTGTGTGTTTATATATAATTTTGGTGTCTGATACAGAGGTGTGTTTGTATGTAGTGTTGACATTTGCATGCAGGTGTTTATTTGTGTGTAGTGTTGTGTTTGAATGCTGAGATATATGCACATATACACATACACTGCCACACATGCACACACTGTGATACACATACACAAAGATACACACACTGACACATGCAGATATACATATACACAAACTGATACCCATTCAGATAGACACACAGGTACACACAAACACTGACAGACATACAGATAAACACACAGTGACATACAGACACACATACACAATGATAGGGAAGAAGACACACAAAGACACACTAACAGACAGACACACACACACACAGACATTTAGATACACACAGACACATGGACAGAGACATATACATACACACACACACTGACAGACATGGATACACACACACACACTGACAGACATAGATACACACACACTGACAGACATACACACACACACACTGACAGAGATAGATACACACACACACTGACAGACATACACACACACACTGACAGACATAGATACACACACACACACTGACAGACATAGATACACACAGACACACTGACAGACATACACACACACACTGACAGACATAGATACACACACACACACTGACAGACATACACACAGACACGCTGACAGACATACACACACACATGCTGACAGACACAGATACACACACACACTGACAGACATAGATACACACACACACACACTGGATACATATACACACACTGACAGACATAGATACACACACACACACACACTGACAGACATACACACACACTGACAGACATATACACACACTGGACAGATATACACAGACACGCTTGACAGACATAGGCTATACACACACACACTGACAGACACAGATACACACACTGACAGACACAGATACACACACTGACAGACATAGATACACACACACACACACTGACAGACATAGATACACACACACACACACACACTGACCAACAGGTTCAGAAGGGGGGCTTACCTGGGATCCAAAGTGCTGCCTGAAGTAGTTGGGAGTTGGAGGAGCTGGTCCTGCCCAGCCCCCTCCTCTCTGCCTTTTGCTGCTGTAGTCTTCTTGGGAGGACTTCCTCCCATGCTGATTAGATGGGGGCCCGTAGCTCCGCCCCTGCTGGGCACCAGTCGCGCTGTGTGCTACAGAGGGAGCAGGGATATGACGTTCATATCCCCGCCCCCTCCACACAGTCCGCGGCACTGCAGGTTGGCGCTCGGCCACGCTACAAGAAGAGACCGGCAGGAGAGGGGAGCTGTGCGCTTCTCTCCTGCCGGCCACCCGGACATTTGCGCCCCCGGGCCGGTGCGCCCTAAGGCGGCCGCCTGTGCCGCCTTATGGACGCGCCGGCCCTGCTGGTAACCAGATCCGGTGTGTTGTAAGCTGTGTATTACAAATCAGAAACTCCTTCTTTTGAGCTCTTTTTTTTAGTTTTCTTTTTCTTGTGTAGTCCATGTGATAACTGGAATTATGGACCCTAATGGCATTCATTTCTTTAGGAGGAACCCCAGCACAAGGATCGAATTCCTCTAATTACCATTTCAGATTTGAAAGGTGTGAATCTGAAGATTGCCTCCAAGATGCCACCAAGGCGCCTTACACATGCTTTTATGTAAGCACAGGTTCAATTAAATCAGTTGGGGTCTGATTGGAGCATTGTTTAGGAATAACAATGTATCTCATTATTGTCCACAGAGGAACGCCTATGAAAAGTCCATTGGACTTGAGAAGACGTCTTAAAAAGGTCAACATGATGAGGTAATTTTGAGATCTGTTTGTTTTTGTTATTGGAAGATTATGCATTATCTGAAATGTTATATATATATTATATATATATATATATATATATACACACACTATATAGAAAAGACTGGAGGTGAGAGAGGGACATATGGCTGGAGTTGTGGAAAAATTGGAGGAAGAAACTTTGAGAATTGGGGTGGAATTTGGAAGTATTTCTACACCAGGAATTTCATCCATTTCTTCTTTTTGGCTCCAAGGGAGCTGTTTCCATTTGCATCCTTCGTGTATAAATGAACACCTCTCATGTACCGTATATACTCGAGTATAAGACGAGTTTTTCGGCACATTTTTTGTGCTCGAAAGCACATATATACTCGAGTCACTGTCTGTATTATGGCAACTTACATTGCCATAATACAGACAAGGACCGCCGGGCTCATTACAAGCCCGGCGGTCCTGTTGGGGGCTGGCAGCGAGCTGTTACTTACCTTTCCTGCAGCTCCTGTCAGCTCCCTTCTCATCCGGTCCGGTCAGCTCCCTTTTCCTCTATTGTAAGTCTCGCGAGAGCCGCAGGGTCAGAGCGTTGCCACGCGGCACTCAGCCCGTGAGACTTACAGGGGAGCTGAACGGACCGGAGGAGAAGGGAGCTGCAGGAAAGGTAAGTAACAGCTCGCCGCCAGCCCCCCTCCAACACAGCCCATGCCACTAGACCACCAGGGAATAATATAGCCCCCCTCCCTGGCCAGGTATCAAGCAGGGAGGGGGGACGAAAAAAATTATAAATAAAAATTTAATATTAAAATAAAAAAATATTAATATAAAAATATATATATTAAAATATTAATTAAAAAAATAAATAATAAACATGCCCACCCCCCACCAAGGCTCTGCATCACATACACACACACACACTGCATTCATACATACACACACTGCATTATATACACACACTGCATTCATTATATACACACACCGTAAATAAATATTCAATTAATATAATTTTTTGGGGATCTAATTTTATTTAGAAATTTACCAGTAGCTGCTGCATGTCCCACCCTAGTCTTATACTCGAGTCAATAAGTTTTCCCAGTTTTTTGGGGTAAAATTATGGAACTCGACTTATATTCGGGTCGACTTATACTCGAGTATATACAGTACTTATTTCTTAATTTGAAAGAACTTTACTTCCCAGCTGCAACTATTAATTTCACAGCAAGTAAATTGCTGCATTGTGTGCTGTGCTCAACCTAATAATTTGTCAGGTGGTAATATCACCGTTACAAGTACACCTCACTAATATGGCAGGTTAGGTTTCACACCACTGCTGTTAAGTTACTATCGTCTCAGAACATGTTTACACTGTCGTACATCATTTGGATATTAAGTGCACAATAGCTCTAAACCCCCCAAAAAAACTAATGTAAAAATAATACATTTTTTAAAATGATACCACCATGCAGATTACTAACCTTAAAATAGTAGGGATTCATTAGCTGAATATAATATGTGGCGCTACGCTAATACAGCACTTTTCAAAATGCCGTATTCACAATAGTGTTAATTGTTGGGTATCCATGGTTATTTATTTATTATTGTTTTGCTTTTTTTTTTTTTATTTACATTTTTTGTTGAGGCATACAAGATAATACATACCAATAAGGGCATGTATAAAACAATATGCCACCGGTAACAAATAGTAAAATATATTACATACAATAGGATACATTTATCTTAATTAAGCTGTCATGGTGTCTCAAAAGCAAGAACCATGTGAGAATAAACAGTTACAATTATTATTAACTTGCCTTATGAGAGGGAGTTTAAAGACACATATATGAGACTAATGGCACCATCTCAACTAGCTATTTAAAATTAAGTAGGTTATTTAGTGAGAGTTGGATTGCCAAACTATCAAAAGAAAACTGCCACTGGATAGCAAGACTACACTATAGTAGATATTATTTGTGAGCATATTAATAAAATAATAATCATAACAGAAACTATACACAAATAAACTAAGCATTGCTGTAGCAAGCACACTCAGCTGATGGGGAGAGAGGAACTGGAGCCCAGCCAATCTGAGGGGGTCACCCCACCAGCCTTAGGCTTTAATACAATTCATCGCTATGCTCCCTGTAATCCAACAGTGTCTGGAGATGGTACTCGAGATTGTTTTGTCTCACACACCCATCGTTGCAGAGCTGGAACTCTCCAACTTGGCGAGCTGTGCCTAGGGATATGGCCCCAGCTGGTTCGCAGCCTAGGCGATTATGCAGCGTCTGCTCGTGGCTCCTCCTCTGCGATGCCACAAAGGGATGCACAGGAGAAATTTTGCCTACGATTGGCTTGGCGTATGGGTGTATTATTACTTACTCAAGCATTTAGTTTTGAACAAAGTTGTGTGCACAGATGGTAAAATGATTGAGGAGGTGGGTCCACATGGGTGGATGGCTGTGGGAAGGCCTGTGGAGCAGCAGACCTCAATGTGACGACCATCTTGAGAAGTAGATCTCAACCCTCCAAACAGCTTATAATTGCAAATGTCATAGCTAGTCAAATGCAGACCAAGCACTCCGCAGTGTGTTCCTCATGAGAATTAGCAAGGTATAAAATGGTTTGGTCAATTATTAGACTTAGAGTTTTTTCCCAGAGGAGCTCCAGCCAGATATGACTATCTCTGTTGCCCTCCCTTTCCCAGGTAATTTTCTAATTTTAGTAGATGATGTGGAAAATAAAATATGTTTTCAGTTTGGCTGTCTTCGCCTAAATGTTAATTTAACTTTTTTCCAAAATAAATGACCTTGTTTCTGTTCTTCACCAGGAGTCCTGGAGGGACACCATTATATGACCGTGATAACAAAGAAAATGGCACCGGATTAAATCCAATGATGACCAGAGCATTGAGGCAGAAATTTCAGGTACATTTTTATAGTTTATTTAGATATTTTTCACTTGTTTAATTGATAAAGATATGGCTCAAAGATCTAGTTGTTGTTTTTTTTAATTGATGTTTTTCATATTTTTAAACCTTCACCCTAAATATCTTCCTCATTGTAAATATAACCCTCTAATATCATTCATGCTATAATAGGCTGGTGCAAATTGATAGAGGTTAACATTATCTATGTATTGTACCAGCTACATTACCACTAGATATATATATATATTTGTTTGTTTGACCTGTCCAGCTTTTACCTAGCATAATATTGGTAAAAGAGTAGAAACAAACAACTTCTCCAAATATGCTTTGCAAAGTTTGGGGTTAAACCGTTCCTTAACGGTTTAACTCCTTAAAGGAAAACTAGATACAGGTTAGCGCCTATTGCCAGTTGTTTTATCACTAGACCTTTAAAGGGACACTATAGGCACCCAGACCACTTCAGCTCATTGAAGTGGTCTGGGTATACTATCCCAGGTCCCTTACCCAGGCAAAGGTAATTATAGCAGTTTTTAAGAAACTGCAATATTTACTTTTCAGGGTTAACTCCACCTCTAGTGGCTGTCTACCAGGGAGTTTAAAGAAAGAGAAGGAATGGTGCAGTAAACGGGAAATATCAGTTGATATAGGGAGGTGGGAGGGCTACAATTAAGTAGGGTGGTATGGAGAGAGAAGAGCCTGTCAGGGGAAGATATTTAAGTAGGTCAGCAATGTGCAGTGCGTGCAGGCAACAGCCGTAAACTGTGCACAGTATTGACATTGGGTAGCCTGAAACAGAGTTTTGGGCTGCCAATGTCATGTGTGCAGGGGATGCAATTATCCCCCACACACACAATTAAATATATCTCTGAGTGTATAGTGTTTCAAGCTGAAACACTGCACATCTTAACTCTTACCACCATGGCCACTTCAAATCACTAAAGTTGTTGTGGTGGTTGCAGTTTCCCTTTAAGCTAAAGTTATTATGGTTCTTAGAATATCCTCTGTTGTCAGATGCCGGGCAGACGTGTCTTGCATGAGCTCTGGACTTTTCAGCACTAAATTGCGGATTTCTGTCCAAAAATTCTGGACTGGGGGGGGTAGGGGGGGGCGGGGGGGGGTATCCCTGTCTAGGAGGCGTACCGGCGGAGACAGGCAGAACCGCATGGCAGCCTCCCAAAGCGGGAAACACAGCCACCTAACCATCAGATGGCAGAACCCAGCCCTCGCAAGCAACCACACTTGAATCTTTGAGGACTTCTGGGCAAAACTAAACCGCTGTCTAAAAGCACCCTCCTCACAGAAGCCAGGCTGTAACTCACCACACTAATGGCACCCGAGAACTTAGCTCCCTCCAGCGGCAAGGGCTCCAGGCCGGCGGCATCTCAACACACACCCCCTGCTGCAAAACGCAAGAAAGACCCAGCGGGATTACCGGCAATCAAGCAGAGGGGAGGACAGACGTACTCCCGGCCGAGACAAGCAGCTACCAGACAACGGGCAAAGGTACACACCACTGCAGCAAGATTCCCCCTCTACTTCCCAATCTGTGAAGGGATACTGCAACCGCACGGAAGGTACCCTAAAGAGCACCCAACGAGCTACGTATTAGACACCAATCTGGTCCAGACCCTGATGGACTTACACACCTGGCTCCGGAAACCCTGCAGAAAAGGCATAGGGTGAAGAATAGCCTGCAGAGGGACTTGTTCACTCGCTGTAGGAGATGGCTCCTGCAAACTGATACCTACTTCATGCTAGACCAGGGGTTCTCAACCCAGTCCTCAGGACCCCCTACCAGTCCAGGATTTGGGGATTACCTGGGTGTGTCTCAGGTGTTTAGAAAAGGGGAAAAAAACACCTTAGATTCTAAGGTGTTTTTTTTTTTTTTCTAAACACCTTAGACACACCCAGGTAATCCCTAAACCCTGGACTGGTAGGGGGTCCTGAGGACTAACGTTGAGAACCCCTGTGCTAGACTGACTTTCTCAATATCTATACAATATACAAAGCTAAACTTATTCAAAGTGCACAGGCTTTATCCTATGCATCACTATATCTATTGTGTGCATTACCTTTTTTATTTTCTTAGCCCTACACCCAGTATGGAACTATTATCACCAAGATCTACAACAGGTGGTTTTTACCTTACCGTTCTACTAAAAAGAGTGCATGGAGGGGACAGTCATATGACTTCTGTGGTTTGCAGCCCTCAAGACCGGTCGAGCCCCAGATCTCCATATAGGAGAAGTGAAAAACCGGCGGCCTTCCCAGGATTCGGTGCAAGGCCTTTGGATAACTGCAGGCTGTGCAGAAAATGCTTAGCCATGGTTGCAGGAGAGTCTGAACAACGGAAGTCTCCACCTCTTCAGCCCAAGACATTGCTTACTGGATTAAACAGGCAGTGGTAGAGGGGATTACAAAATCCAATACAGATAAAAGACCCAGATGTGAGACCTTTGGTGTGTATTCAGATCATTCTGACAATGTTTTCAGACAGGCCTCTGGCTCTCTGGAATTTGAGCCATTCTCATCCAGTGGGGTAGAGTTTATGGTACAGCCTGGCTCTTTGGACTTAAAAGCTAATGAGCATTTAATTATGGTGGTCAGAACATTGGATTTACCAGAAGAGGTCAAAGAATGTTCAGCTTCTGACAGACACTTTGGGGACTTACACAAGAGAAGACCTTCTAAGGATCTCATGCATTCCGCATGGCATAATCCAGGGAAAAGAATTACCAGTCAAGGAAGACTTTCTAAGTTATACTCGATAAAAGAGGAAGATTCAAGAATGTGGACAGCTGTACCAAAAATAGACGCTCCTATCATTAAGGTAGCAAAAGATCCATGCTTCCTATTGACATCAATGCTTCACTAAAGGAACCCATGGATAAAAGGATAGATGCAGACATATCCAAGGTCTTCATGACAGCAGGTCTAGGATGCCATCCGGCTGTATCTATTTCAGCTTTATCCAGAGCTTTGCGTTCCTGGTTCCTTGATTTGGAATAATACCTGGATAGAGGCGTAAGTAGACGTCAAATGGCAGAATCCTTAAAGGATATTAAACTGGCCAGTAACTGGCTTTTGGAATCCTCTGCAGATCTTGTTAGAATACTTTCTAAAGTTATGGCACATTCCGTTACTGCCAGAAGGGCACTTTGGTTAAGGTCCTGAGGAGCAGACCTTTTTTCTGAAAAATAATCTATGTACCATTCCTTTTTATGGGAGAGGTACTTTTTGGAAAACCATTGGATGAGGCAATTAAGAAAGTGGCTGATGTCAAGCAGGTTATGCTGCCACAGGATAGACGTCCAAAGAGACCACAATATGATCGTAGACCATACAGGGATCAAGGTTATTTTAGGCAAAGTAAAACCTACAGACCTGGCAGAGAATACAGTAGGCACTCTAATTGGAAGAGTGGTCAGAACATTGTCTTCCAGGAACAAGACCCAAACTTCTTCCTTTCACCCCAACAAGCAATTCTGATGGTGGCTTGCAACAGGTACCTAGTGTAGGAGTGTCTATCGTTCTTTCAGAGGGCCTGGGAAATCATTACAGATGCATGGGTCAAATCCATAATCACCGGAGGATATCATCTGGTATTCGAAGCGATTTCTCCTCCACCAAGGTTCATCAGAACAAGGCTTCCTACCAACAGACAAAAGAGAGGGGTCTTAAATCTTTATGTAAGCAATCTTCAACAAGGAGTCATCATACCAGTGCCGGTGAAAGAACGGTTCTAATGGTTTTATACCCCCTTATTTTTGGTCAAGAAAGCAGGAGGGAAAACTAGACCTATCTTAATCTCCATCAGCTCAACCTTTCCTTAAAAGTAAGAAGATTTTGCATGGAATCCATCATTCCTGTTGTTCATCACAGGGATTGATTAATCTCGGTAGATTTAAGGGATTTATGCATGTTTCTATGTCCATATCACAGCCAAACATGAGAAGTTTCTCAGATTTTGTGTCAGGAAGGATCAATTTCAATTTCAGGCTCTTCCCTTTGGGATAAGTACAGCTCTGAGGACCTTCTCGAAAATACTGGTCACCATCATTGCTCTATTCAGGAAAGAGGGTGTTGCAGTTTTTCACTACCTAGATGACATCTTGGTAGTGGCATCAGACTTCGAGACCATGCTTCAACACAGACAGCTAGTCTTCGAGACTCTCAATTCGGGTGGTCACATGAAGACTCAGTTACATCCGACAAGAGAACTGGTATTCTTGGGAGCAAATGTCAATACCAACACAGCGGTAGGTTGGCACAATGGAACCTGTGTCCTCTTCAACATTTATTCCTGATGAATTTCAGAACCAGCTCAATAGATTGGGAAAGGTTGATCCACTTTCCTTTTCAGCTGAAAAAGAAGCTCCTTTGGTGGATGTCATGGGAAAACATATCCAGAGGTTTTCCTTTGAGGGAAATAGATTGGGTGGTCATCACTACAGATGCCAGAGAGTACGGATGGGGATCCCATTTGGGAAGTAATTTTTTTTCACGCAAAATGGCCCCCAAGGACACAGTGCTTACCTTCCAACATCAGGGAACTCAGAGCATCATTTCTAGCACTCCTACATTTCTAACACCTTATCCAGAATTCTTGGATCAAATTGAGAGTAGACAACAAGGCAGCTGCTGCAAATGTAAACCACCAAGGAGGAACCAGAAGTGTTGCCTTGATGAGGGAAGTACTTCCTATTATGTACTGGGCACTGGTACATGTGGAGGGCCTGTGTGCAATTTTTCTCCCAGGGAAGGAGAATGTAATAGCAGACTTTCTCAGCAGACACCAGATAGATTGGAATGGCATGGCAACTTTCAAAGACTGTCTTCAAACAATTGGTCCAGAGGTGGGGTCTTCCCCAAGTGGACCTCATAGCGACTGCTCAGAACACTCAGGATCCGTGCTTTGTCTCAAGGAGGTGCCATCCGAAGGCGGCCGCTCAAGATGCCCTTTCAATCAGATGTTTTTTTTAGATGTGGCTTACATTTTTCCCCCAATTCCTCTCATCCACGCTGTTCTGAGGAAGATGTCCAGGGAACATTGCAAGGTAATCCCCTTCTGGCCATGTCGGCCTTGGTTTCCTCTGTTGAAACAGCTGGCAAGGGATCAACCTTGGGAGATTCCAGTTTCCGAAGATCTATTGACTCAAGGTCCTGTGTTTCATCCGGAACCTCACAAATTCAGACTTCATGCATGGCTATTGAAAGGCATCCCTAATTGAGCAAGGCTTATCAGACCAGGTGGTATCAATCCTTTTATGTTCCAGAAAGTCATCTACTTCCTCTAGTTACCATGATATTTGGGAAGCTTTTGCATTATGGGGACATTTCACTGTTGGGGATTTCAGTACTCCTTCCATATCTCGAGTCTTGGGTTTCCTGCAAGCAGGCCTGGAGAGTGGTCTTAAGCTCAACACCCTTAAGGTAAAAACGAACACTAAAAAGAGGGAGGGGAGAGGAACACTAGAGGGGGGAGAGAGGAACATTAAGGGGGGGGGGCACTAAGGGAAAAGGGAAGTTTTTCATATTAGATTAATTAAATTCATTAAAAAGTCTAATATTAATAAAATTATAGGAAAAAACTTTTTTTAATTCATTTGGGGTGGGGAGTATCATTTTCAAAAGGGCATCCTGAATTTTCATTAAAAAGTCTAATATTAATAAAATGATAGGGAAAAAACTTTTTTTTAAATCATTTGGGGGGGGGGGGAGTCGTTTTCAACCAAGGGCATCCTGAATTTTCGGTTTAGGCTCAGAATTTTCATTTTGGTGCATCCCTAGTAATAAAGATTAGGCCTCCTATTAAGAAATTCTCAGCACCATTGAATTTACCTCTGCTTCTACAGGCTTTAACGGATCCTCCTTTTGAACCTGTTCGTGAAATTCATACACAGGTTCTTTCTCTGAAGACCCTGTTGTTACTAGCTTTAGTCTTGGCTAGAAGAATGTCAGACATAAGGGCATTATCATCTGAAGAACCTTGCACTACCTTCTTCGATGATAGGGTTGTCCTACGTCAAAGACTGGAGTTCCTTCCAAAGGTCGTTAAGGTTTTTTTCATCTAAATCAGGATATTATCCTGCCTGGCTATTTTCAAAATCCTTCTTCACCTGAAGAGGAAAGATGTCATAAGTTAGACTTGAGGAGATGTTTATCCATGTATATTGAGCGCTCAGCTGATTGGAGAAAATCTTCTCAATTATTTGTGATACCATGGGGTTCTCGTAAAGGCGAAGCTGCATCAGTCTCTACTCTCAGTTCCTGGGCCATTTTGGCTATTTCTAAGGCATATAAGGCGAAAGATGTGCCTGTTCCCAAGGATATCAGGGCACATTCTACAAGGCCCATTGATGCATCATGGGCTGCAGAGTCTGGGGTTCCTGCAGAGCGTCTGTAAGGCTGCCAATTGGTCATCTCTGAAAACTTTTGTGAAACGCTACAAGGTTCATGTCTCTTCACGCTCTGATTCGGAGTTCGGCCTGTCTGTTCTGAACTCTTATCCTCACAATTAATATAATATCATAAAGTTGTTGTTTTTTGTAGCATGTATTTCCCTCCCTGTGTTATTATTGCTTTGGGAATCCCATATGTGAAATGCTGCCATGATTAGCCAGGAATAGGGAAAATGTATTAATATTCACCATCATTTTCTTTTCCTGGCTATTATTCCTGGCAGCATTTGGTTTCCCACCCTCTCTTGGAATTTTGTTTTCGTCTTGTTAATTGACTGAGAAGTTGAAGCTAATGGGGTCCCTATTATACCAGGGGAAGGTATGCTTAATTGTTTAATTGATTGTATTTCCTGTCCTGAGGGTTAGAGGTAGGAGCTAAATCATATGTTAAATGCTGCCAGGAAAAGAAAATTACGGTAAGTATTAATAAGTTTTCCCTAAAAAATGTAAACCTCCGTTTGAACAGGTCCCACTGATACATTCTCCAACGAATATGTTTAACAGCCTGAGAAAAGTATGCTGTTAAAGGGACACTCCAGGCACCCAGACCACTTCAGCTATTTAAAGTTGTCTGGGTGTTGTGAGCCTTTTGCACTTAGTACTGCAATGTAAAACAGACAACCACTAGAGGGCTTCCGGAATCCAAACCGACCTTTGGTCAGTTATCTGACGTTGGACGTCCTCACGGCGTCAGATTTCCATATAAGAAAGCATTGAATAATGCTTTCCTACTGCGCCGATGTCAGCAGAGCGTGGGCTCAGGTAAGTAGCTGAAGGGGTTTTAACCCCTTCAGCAACATGGGGGGGCAGGAGGGAGGAGGGAACTCCAGGATTCTCTAATGCCAGGAAAATGGGTTTGTTTTCCTGGCACTGGAGAGTCCCTTTAAAGTAGCCCTCCATTGTTAAAAAACAATATTCCGTTTTAACGTTTGGAGTGTCTTTGCCTGCTTAGCTTTTTCTCTAGCTGTATCTCCTATCATGACTGTTCTACTTCACCCTTGGGATACTGCAATCACAAACGTCTCACTTCCTGTCCAAATGAAATTAGTGCATGTGCAGCCATTGCCACAAATATGGTGACCGCCCAATAATATGCTTTTCATATGAAAGAATTTGACTGCTTCCCAATAGAAGCTCTCACTTCCACTTGAATGAAGGATAATACAAGTGGAATGAACTAGGAAGTCCTCCTAACTGTAAGCTTGATTGCTATGGGGATGTTCTTAAATGAATTCATATGCGTACCAATTGCTCTTGAAGTAAGCACTTTTATGAATATGGGCAAGGGTAATATTTATGCTTAAATATTTTGGTGAGCTTTAAGTTGATATGCAGAATTGTTAGAGGAACCACTATTGCATTAGGAATACAAACATGTTTTGCAAGGTTACATTACAACTACAGGGTCACTGCACCCATGCCACGTCATTGGGATTAAGGTGGTCTGGGTGCCTTTTGTGGTCCTTTAGTGCCCCCTGCCGGCAAAAATTAACTAACAATTATGACGTTATTTTGACAAAGACAATGGCAAACTATACCATACAAAATGTAAAAATAATTTTATCCAGAATTAATCCCTATGTAGAAAACATTATACTGACATTTAATTTGCATTGTTGGAATTCCATACACACACAAAAATTAAATAAAAGAATTACAAAAAAAATATCTATTTTGCTGGATTGTGAGAGATATTAAAACATGTTTTAAAATGTGAACATGTTTTAAAATGTGAAATTTCTTGAGAATTGCATGAGGTTCTTGACATTGAAAATACTTGGCGGGAGTAGAAACCATTGGAAACTATTTTTTTATTTTAAGATTTTTTTTTTTTAAATGTCTAGTATCATGCATCAAAAAAAAAAAATTTACAGAAGTTTAAATCCTAACTTTTGTTCTATACAGTTGGCTCATCCAAAAAGTCCCTCTCCTGCAAGAATATCTCAACTGAACAGGAGTTTTGAAGAGGAACATTAAATGGACTGTGACAACTGTGGACAATTTGCTACGTAGGACGATCTACAGTTTGCAACAATTTTAAGCAGGATCAGCAATAACAACAAAAATCACTTATATTTTTTATTTTTTTTATTAACAGTTTTTGCTATTTACTAGACAATGCGTTTGTTTTCTTTATCAAAGATTTGATGGGTTATTAAAAAAAAAAAATGCAAACAAAAAAAAAACCTCTGAATGAAACTATGAAGTACATAGCTATTAATTGTTAAATTCTTTTTTTTTTTTTTTAAGTCTTTTAATTGTTTACCATTGAATGCAGCTTCTAGTGTTTGCACACAGATACCTTGAGAAACACAAATGTCATGTTGCATTCCTCCTCACATAGGCACTGAATTTAAAGGAACACTTCCACCTCTGTAACAACTTAACCGTATTTAATACACGTCTGGCAGGAGTGCTGTAGCATTTTATTCATTTATTTCATATCAACTGATGGTCTCAGTCTGCCAGTCCAACTAACCCTTCCTTGTTCTGCAGTGCAGAGAGGAATGCAACTTGGAGGCAAAAACACTGGAGCCTCAACTTCAAGCATAAACCGTTTCCAAGCGATTTAACCCTGAAGGTAACTTAGATCAGCTTAAGTTGGTATTTGAGAGGGAGTGTTCCCTTAACACACAACATTCCTTTACATTAGATTAGTTTTACTGGCAGCTGCCAGGTGGAATAACAGCTAGTTTATTCTAGCGCATTTATGTTTTTATAATTCACAATTTTTATTATCTTGCAAGTCCGTTTTCTCCAGTAGTTTACAAAATCTAGTAACGTTTATATGCACGCAAGCGCATATATATATATATATTTATACCTAGTTGGAATACTTGGATTTTGGTTCCATTTTATTTATTGCCACATTCTTTGGTTCTATCTCCCTTACTTAAAATTATTATTTTTATTTTTTCTTTAACTGGGAACTTCAATTGCTAATGAAACAGTTACAAATTTTTTGATTAAGTCCCACTGGTCCATTTAATTTTTTATTAAAGTATGTATTCGAGTTTGTCATTGGATAAAGAAAAATAATAAATGCAACCTCATTTAGGACAAGAATAAAACTCAAATGACATCACGTACTGGAAATGCCACATGTAATTGATAAAGTTGTTTTACAAAAACCTCTTAAACAAGAGAAACAATTGGTAACTACTCACGGGAGAAGAACAAAGAGAGAGAAAAGGCCATTTATTTTTAACATGAAATTTTGTTTGTCATCTCACATTAATGATGTCTGTAACTGGATCTGACCTATTTGCCCAGCAATAAATTCAATACATTATTTCCCTTGGATTGTCAGATATTAGATTGTCTAAATGTTTTTGGTCATAATCAACAGACCAGCTCTCAATACAACTTAAGAAAAAAATGTTTTGTTTACGTATATGCTAAGACTATTTTATTGAGAGGTTACAGAGATATAGTCTGTTTTCTACTGAATAACTACATTTCTATGTTACATATATATATGTGTAATATCTTTGCATCGAGTGTTTGAACACTTACTGCTTTAAATTCAGCATCACCTAAAATTGACAATATTTACATTAAAGACACATTTTCTGAGCAGATTGCTAGTTCCTGTAATGCCAGGGGCACATTTATTCCACATTTTGGTAATCTGACACGTTTTTCCTTCTAATGACTTTCTGGGTAAAATTAGTGGGTGATGGGAGGTGTTTTGACAAAATGGCTGAGTATTGGAAGGTAAGTAGGGTTTAGACACAATCTGACATTAAGTTGTGCCCTGTAGACCTGGTAGTTACCTGTAACATCCAGAGTCTCTGTGGGGATATCTAGCGAGGTTGCCCAGATATGGTCAGCTGGGAAATCTCACCCTATTGTTAACTTCCAGTTCCAAAACATTTTGACTACTGAAAAAAAATCATATTTTCATGCAGTGGATTTCTAATGCCTGAAGATATTACTATGCTACTTTCTGAGACACTGAATTGTCCCCGAAATATACTTTTAAGCAGCTGGAGAGTCCAAACTTCAAGTCTGATAACTAGGCATTAGCCACTATATGAATATGTGGACCAACTGGAGACAATCTGGCACTAGAAATTAATAGGTGAAATTTGTAATTGTTGATGCACCTGGCATTAGGAATACCACTCTGCATCTGCCCTAAAATAGATATTTAATGTATATTTTAATTTTAAGAGATGCTTGTAGCTCATGTTTATTTTATGTGTAATTTTCTTGTGTATTTTACATGTTTTATTTCTAGGTTCTATCATTTCTCAACAGAAAAAGAAAGAAACTAAGCTGCTTAATTATTCATTGTTACTTATCATCTTTACAGTTAATTAAATGGGGCTGAAAAATCATCTACCTGTTTAAATAAATTAATGCCCCTTGAGTCTCTCAAAAGAAATGGTTAACAGTGTCTGTAGATGCATTTTATATCCATCAGCAAAAGTCAAATACACATTTATGTATATATATATATATCTGTCATGTTTATCCTGACTCAAAAAGCTTTTATAAAATAAATTATAGTTATTCTTTTGGACAGCTTTCTTCTTTGTTTATAATTCACACTTTTAGTCGTTTACAACCAAAACCATTTTCTCCAGCAGATTACAGAAAACAAACCCATTTTCCTGGCATTAAGAATGCATAGGACTTTTATCGCAAAGTATGGGAATAGAAATGGCAGAGTTTAAGACGGTGATACCTATTACTGATTCTTAGAATAACCAGGCTTACAAGACCACTAAAGTCACCCAGACAACTTCAGCTCAATGAAGTGGTCTGGCTACATTGGTCCTGTCATTTTAACCCTACAGTGTAAGACATTGCAGTTTAGTAGAAACTATAGTGTTTATATTGCATGGGTAAATCCAAAACTGGCTTCCAATTCCAGAACCGATGGAGATTTCACTGACGCTGGATGTTCTCATGCAGAACTTGAGGATGTCCACCATTGTTTAAGGGAGTCAGACTCTGTTAGAATTCAGGAAGTGCCTCCAGTTGCTATCTTTCTCAAAAAAAACTAGGGGGACAGGGACACTGCACACAGACCCCTTCAATGAGATGAAGTGGTCTGGGTGCCTATAGTGGCCCTTTAAGGAAAGCTTCACCCTTTGTTAGCTTGACAAAGGAAGTGGAGCTTGCCTTAAGAAGTCCCTACTTTGCATTATGTTTTTAAGACAGATCAGAAATTAAGAAAAAAAAAAGAATGCATTCTTGAGAGAAAGAAGTGGAAATATTAGTAAGTGAAAGGTTATTCTGAGATAACAGAGTCCCTTTAAGATTAATAAAGCAATTTTGGTGTATAAATCATCGCAGTACAGTTTTGCTGCTCAATTCACTACCATTTAGGAGTTGCATCACTGTTTATGCAGCCCTAGCCACATTTCTCCTTGATGTGACTTCTAGAGCAAACATGAAAAAAATTGTTTGTTTTTAATCAGATCTGAGACAGGGCCGGACTGGCCCACCGGGATACCGGGAAATTTCCCGGTGGGCCGCGGCACCTGGGGGCCGGCCCTTTAAATGCTGCAGCCGCCCGAGCGCTCTGTTAAGAGCGGTCAGGCGGCTGCAGCTTCTCCCCTGTAGCGTGGCCGAGCTTATTCCCCCCCCCTCCCCTCCCCTGTAGCGTGGCCGAGCTGCACTCCGGTCCGCGGTGGCCGGCCGGCCGGAGTGATAGGAAGGTGCACACTGAGTGTGCACTTCCTGTCAGTCCGGCCGGTTACAGGAAACAGAAACTCTGTTCCGCGCTGAGTTTCTGTTTCCTGTAACCGGCGGACTGACCTTCCTATCACTCCGGCCGGCCACCGCGGACTGGAGTGCAGCTCGGCCACGCTACAGGGGAGGGGGTAAGAAGAGAGGGAGGGGTAAAAAAGAGGAGGGGGTAAGAAGAGGGAGGCAAAAAGAGGATCGGTAAGAAGAGGTATGGGGTAAAAAGAGAGGAGGGGTAAGAAGAGGGGAGGGAGGGGGGTAAAAAAAGAGGAGGGGGTAAAAAGCAGAGGGGGAATAAGAAGAGGGGAGGGGGGGGAATAAGAAGAGGGAGGGAATAAGAAGAGGGAGGAGGATAAGAAGATGGGAGAGGGGAATAAAGAGGGGAGGAAGGGAAATGTACAAAGAGGGAGGGGGAACAAGATGAGGGAGTGGGGGAATAAGATGCGGGGAGGGATAAGAAGAGGGGAGGTGGGGGGGGGGGGAATAAAAAGAGGTGAGGGGGAATCAGATGAGGGAGGGAGGAATAAGAAGTCAGTGGAGGGAGGGATAAGAAGAGGGAGGGGGAATAAGAAGAGGGGAGGGAGGGGAATAAGAAGAGGGGGGGAGGGGAATAAGAAGAGGGGGGGAGGGGAATAAGAAGAGGGGAGGGAGGGAATAAGAAGAAGGGGCAGCTCTATAGGACAGGGGCCAAGACAGGGAGCTCTTTCACACTACGCGCGCACACACATACAATGCATCCCTATACATACACAGAAACACAACATGCTTCCCTTACACACAGAGAAACACACAATGCATCCATTACACACACACACACATACACAGAAACAGACAATGCAAACCCGTACACACGCATGCAAACACACACACTTCTTTTCTTACATACACACAGAAACACAATGCATCTCATGCACACACATAGACACACACCTTGCATCCCTTATGCATACAAACACAGATTCACACAATCAGAAACACATAATACATCCTTTATACACAAATACACACTGCTTCCACTACACACAAACACACTGCATCACCTGCACAAACTGGTAACCCTAAACAGTACATACCATAAGCACACATATTAGATCCTCTACAATAACACATAACACATCCCCTACACACTCCACTCCCTGTGAGCGAACTCATGGGTGGGTAGAACTTATGAGTGGGCCTTTGGCGGGCATACCCGCCAGGCCCCTGGGGCCCAGACCCGAGCTGTGTAAGGGGCCCCGTAAAAAGATGGAGCTGTTTCCACCTCCTGTACTGTATTGAATTTTGTGACCACAGTTGCAAATAACAGAAATTTCCAGACTCTGTTCTACACCAGACCAGTGGAGCCAAACTGCAGCCCATCATCATCCTCATCTGCTTGTAGGGGTAGGCGTACCAGTATATTATTAGTGACACTAATCTATAATTTACCTCACATTAAAAGGGACACTATAGCTTAATGAAGTGGTTCTGGTGTCTATAGCTGGTCCCTGCAGGTTTTTTACCGTGCACACACTGTGTGCAGCACTGGCATTAGTTCATATGGCAGGTCATATGGGTGGGGCATTGTGATGTGACATGTGGGGGCAGCAAATTTTTATTTTGTCTAGGGCGGCAAAAATCCTTGCACCGGCTCTGATCCTGGGCAGGTGCACCAGTCTACTTGACTGGTTTTGCCCCCAGGCCTAAGGCTGCCAGCCCTCCCCTGGCTGCTGGGGAGGTCTTTTGGCGGCCGCTGGCGGACTTGTCCTGGCGGCCGCTGAGGGAGCTGCGCGAGCTGCGCTGGCTCTGCTCCCCAGCACGCAGCTGAATGAGACCGGCGCCGGAATATGACGTCATATTCCGGCGCCAGTCTCATTCAGCAGGGCGGGAGGGCACTAACACAGGAAGCACCTCTAGTGACCGTCTGAGTGACTGTCACTAGCAGTGTCACTTTGAAGTAATGTAAACACTGCCTTTTGTCTGAAAAGTCAGTGTTTACGTTGAAAAGCCTGTAGGGACATGCTATAGACACCAGTACCACCACATTAAGCTGTGTGTGTGCATCTGCTAGTGAGTGAGCTTGCTTGCATGCGTGTGCCTGCTAGTGAGTGAGCTTGTGTTTTTATGTCAATGAGCTGATGTATATCAGTAAGATTGTTTGTCTATGAGGCTGTGTATCAATGAGCTTATGTGTGTCACTGAAATGTCAGTGAAATTGCCTGTGTCTGCATGTGCGTATGCTTACTGTATAATTAAACGTTTTACCCTGAAAGGACCAATATTTTATATTAGAAAAAGCAATATATATATATATATATATATATATATTACTCAATCATCTGTCCTGGCAAGACATAGCCTTACATATTACACGTGACAATATATGGCGCAGTGACTTATGGGACTGGCACAAATTTATTTTCCAGGGCTGCTTTGTATCCCCAGTCCGGCCCTGATCTGAGAGCACAGTGTGTTTACTTTAAAGTTTTATCTTCTGCTCTGTTTAATTGAATTTTAAACACACACAAGAGGCTCTAGCAGTCTATTACCAGAGTAGAAAATTGGGAATTGTAGCCTCCTACCATTAGAGAGTCAACATAAAAAATTGTTTAATTTTCAATCAGATCTAAGAGCACAGTGTATTTACTTTTGAAGTTTTATCTTCTGCTCTGCTATAGCAGGTTGCTACCCGAGTAGAAAATAAGAAATTTTTAATTAAACAGAACATTAAATCTTGCTTTACAGGAAATTGGTAAGGAGACTGTAACAAAATCCCTTGTTAAACAGACTATGCGAACCAGCCTGTTCGGTTATTTAGACGTGTGTGGGGTGATTTCGTGCAAATAGCAATAAAACGAATAAACTGGAGTTTAACACGAATACCGGAGACATTGCACCGTTCGGGACTTGGATTTATGCGAAAGAGACCGATCCCAGATAGCTACAGTGTGTAACTCTTTGTCGGATACAAACACGCGAACGGCCGGTGAAGTCCAAACTTCATTCAATGTTATTGAGAACTGTGTTCGTGGGATCTGAGCACTATTCGCCTAGAATATGCACTCAGATCCAAGCTATCTGGGGGTATGTGGGACTTAAAGTTTATGTTCAGTAAAATATAAGTTATAGATTTTTATGCTGTTTTGTGAATATGGGAAAAGCCATGTTTCTTTCTACCTGGAGATTATTAAGGCTCTCTTTACTACCTTAAGTTAATTATCTCCAGGATGGAAAGGAGGGAGTGACCTATGTAAAAGGGGAGTGCTTATGTTATAGCCACTGCGGTTGGCTACTGTAATTCTTTTGTCCCAGTCTTCCATCTGGTTCCCTAGGGGAGTGTCCACCAGGTGGGAGACCTGCATAAATACCGGGCAGGTAGCCCCCATTAAATCAGATCGTTTTACCCCTTCATGAAGTCTCGACTCATGTTTGGGGGATTGGAAGCTATAATCACTTTGTTCCAGCTGGATTTCGGGAGAAGCTACAAGGATCAGCACTGCACGAATAGAAGGATCCTTTACAGAGAATGTAGGTGACATTCAGGTGAAGTGTAGCTAGGGCTGCATAAACAAGGTGATTTAACTGTTAAATGGCAAATAATTGAGCAGTGAGACTACAGTGGTATGATCCATACACCAAAGTATATATAAAGTTAAAGTTGTTTTGTTACTTATAGTGTCCTTTTAAATTTTACTGAGGAAAGAGGTGGATATTTGTTTAATATGCAATTGTTTCTAATAAATATACTTTATGTGGATTTACTTATTTATTTATCTGGTATGAAGACTTTAGCCCTTTTTCATTGTT